CAGAAATGAAAATTTCCATTGGATTGGCTTCTAATTGTTGCCAATAAGTCTAAAAAATGAAAAAAAGTACAGTATTGTAGTAAAGATAGCCATATCAAAGATAAAAGTTATTAAGAACTGTCACATTTTTAAGAAGTACTGTGTTTTAGAAATATAAGTGCAAGAATATCCATATATTTCTCTGTTGCCCACATAATTTATTTTCTCTTAGGAATCCAAAGGTATGTTTGAGCTAAATCTGGTCAACTTTATGAATGAAGTCTACTGTAGTGGTGGCACAGTCTGATTTGCACATAGTAGGAGCTCAGTAATTAATTACTTGTTGAATAAAAATAAAGACCAAATGTCCTATCCAGTTTATGTATATTAAATGCTGTGAAATCCACCTAATTCCCAGAATATTACATGCTTTCATGACATACTTTAAATGTGGTTTGATCTACTTTTGTTGTTTTTTTTTTTAGTGTGTCTAGTAAAAGCTGCAGAACTTGTTCATTTTAGTTGAGTGTGTTAAAATAAAGTGGGAGGAGGGTGTCTAAGTTCAAAATTTCAAATTGTTTTGGCAAGACCAACTCCTTTTCATGCTAACCACCATGCCACAAAGCTCCATTGTTGTCCAGTTGAATGAATGGCTTTCATTTGGGAAAAAAGGGGGAAAAAAAAACCTTTCTAGTAATTGAAATTTCAGGAAAACAATTGATTGTGGCAATTGTCAGGGGAATTTGCTCAACAAATAATATTGTCAGCTTTATTATGCCTGCTAGCTTTCATGGTTCAGCTTTCTCAGCCAATGGCATGAAAATTCAGAACCTGACTGACTCTACTTAAAATTACACACTTTTGTTCACATACACTTCACCTATCTTCTCTTGCCCTTTGTTCAACCATTCTGGACATTCCTTAACAGTGCATCTCCTATATCTGTATACACATAGAGTTTATCTTTACTGTTAGTGGTTTAACTGAGGTATCCTGCTAAAATGCATTCCTACAACTTCATATTGTTGGTACTTTGAACTAAGTATGGCCTGGCAGTTGGGATTCCTTAGGAGATAGTTCATTTGAATTTTTGATGATTTTAAAATATTCTAGATAGTCTGTGCTTCTGTCTGCCTTGGCAGAAGTTGAACAGGAGAATGCTTTGTACAAGAGCCAAAACAGTGTTTCTCAGTGTTCAAAAAAGGATTAATTATGAAAGCGAAGTTTCAGTGGAGGCAGAGTTGATCCCCTTTATTTTTGAATAAGGTCTCAAGCCACAATGATAAAAAATAAAATACCATGCTGGATTTCTATTTAGATCTGATCTGCCTGTCAACAGAAACTTATCCATATAAGGGGATTAACTGTTCACATGCTCTTTGGACATCCAAAGTGCTAAGTGTGCCGTAATGGAAAATGATTAATTTTTTTTGTCATCCTTTTTGAGAACACAGGACATCTCTTAGAAGGAAAACAACCCTTTATTTTGAGAACAGAAAAGATTAATTATGTTCACCTCACCAAGGTGCTTTTAAGTAAATTAGTTTGGACCCTACCAGAGCCAGAACAATTATCATTCCTTATCAGTGTTCCACATCAGGACTGTGCTAAATATGCAAGAGGTAAATGTGTCCCCTTGTGGCCTTGGGGCTGGGGCTTTTGAAGCATTCAGGGAAATTGTTATTATTTCCTAGCGTCTGCCCTTTGCTGGGTGTGCCTTCGTGACCCAGCGTGACTAAACCCTGCCGACCCATCCTCGGTCACGCGCTGCTCCGCATCAGGTTTCCTCCATCACCTTATTTGATCCACAAAAAGATCTTATTCTCGTTTTCCCTTCTTAAACCCTCTAGACAGTTTAACTCTATGGTCTCTCATTTTTCTTTCAGTTCTGCTTTTAATTATTATTTTTAAAATTTTGAGGCTGTTTAGCAATCTTCTTAGTCCCTCAGAAATGGTCAACTCTTTTTTTTTTTAATAATATTTATTTATTTATGCATACGAGAACTGGGGTATAGGCCAGAGGTGTGGGGGGTGAGAGGATTCACCAGAGACAGAGTGGGGAGCAGAACAGGCGAATTGACTGAAATACACTGCTGAGTGGAGCAGCGGGCGAGATAGAAGAGGTCTGCTGCACCATGTGAGTCAGCTCCTTGGCCAGGGATCAAACTCGCGCTGGGATGGCTGCTGATAGCTTCATAATGCTGCAACTTTTAACCCTTGCTCCACCAGGGAGGCCCCAGAAATGGTCAGCTCTTACAGACCAGTTAGTAGTTACCAGGAGGGGTTATGTGGATGTGTAAATTGGGTAAAAGTGTTCAATCGTATACCAGAAAGGCTAGAATTGGACTTTTAGCAGTGACCTGTATGTAGTATGCAGAGGTGATTTTTTAGTGATGTATACCTGAAACGTATATAATGTTACAAGGTAATATTACATCAATAAGCACCAAAACCAAAATACAAAAGCAAAAAAAGGATCGATTTTTTAATTCTACCTTTAAAAAATAATTTGTGCTCTATTTTTCTTTTCACAAATGTGTCTTTATTGGTCTTTGTATTAAGAAGACTATTTTCATAAAACTAAAATTTGTTCCAAGCACTCCACAATGGAAATAGGGAGAAAATATAATCCTACCTTTAAGGAATTTGAAGTAACAAGTAAACACAGGTAGTAAATGATTAGACACATGATAGGAGACCTGTGTGCACACACAATCAAGTGTGTATGTGCGAATGTGTGTAAAGCACTGATGTTGGGCACTAACCTGACTCTAGAGGAGAGATTCACAGAATAATACCTAGTATTGTCATTATCTAATAGCTGCTGTTTATTAGTGCTTATTCCTGCCCTTACCTGCTGTAAGTACTCTGCATATTTGATCTTTGCAATAATTCCACACAATGGATATTATTATCATCCCATTTTATAGATGAGAAACCTGGATCCCAGGAAACCTGGAGTGGTATCCAGGAACTTCCCTAGGGACACAGAGTCAGTTGGTGATCAAACAAGGATTTCCATTCAGGCAACCAACTCTGACTGCCATGTTAGAGGAGGTAGTCTCAAAGCCAAGTCTTGCAGCAGGAGAATCTGTGAACTAACTTAAGCAAAACATAGATAACATTCCACATAGATGTACCTTCCTGTGCAAAGCTTGATGGCTTTGAGGAAAGAAGCAAAGATATAGCATAACACTTTTGGTCATAGTAGCTAATTAGCAGGATTTAGATGAGGGAGTAATTATAAAAATCTTTTTGTTATGCTAAGCCGGTTATAAAGTGAAAAATATGAAAAGCAGATTCTTTGCCTGCTTTTAGAATATAAGTTCTAAAAATACAAAATGACAAATATTTGGAGTTGGTAATTTCATGGGGCAAACACCCAAGAAGACAAAAATGTCTTGTTTTTCTGATGCAATCACTAGCTTTGCTTTCTGCCATACAAGAGTGAACATTTTCCTACAAGTGTTGTTGAGTAAATATTAACCCTTTGAATCCCATGTAAAGTTTCCTCTTTATTTTACATTTTTATTTATAAAATCTTTCTTTTCATACCCCCGCCCCTCTTTTAGCCTTAAAATTCAGATCCCAACCTACTATGGTAAGTAATGAAAGCTATAGTGAACTTACTAGAACCAGAAGACTCCTAGAGATTTTTAGATTCTACTTTCCTATTTTTCTGATTTGGAAACTGAGGCACATGTTAAATGATTTTCTCAGATTTATATAACTAGTTTTGGCAAAGCAGAGAAATAACTTTGTATCTCCTGATTTCCACTATATCTGGCTGCCTGCCCATAAGCAGAAATCTACCACAAATGAAAACATTATCTAATTAATCTAAACAATCTAACAGCATTATTGAGGACATTTTGTGTATATTTGGACATTTTCAGAAGTTCATAGAATGCAGTGTCCTTGCAGTATATATTTTGAGTAAATCAAAAGTTTTTAATATGGCGTGCTTGGTCTTAGGGTACTCAATGCATTCTCTCAATAAATTTTCTCCTGGAGCTTCACATAAATGGCATCCCGTAGGTGGATTTCAGAGTTTCTGCTGCTCAGCCAGTCCCCATTCTGAGAGCAAGTCCCCATTCTGCATCTTTTTTCAGGAATCCTAAACTCCACAAGTTCTTATCTTACTTGGAGGTAAGGGGCTAGCAGCCTGACATTTTTCAAATGGTTCCTTTTGTGTGTACATGACAGCATATCACTCTTCTGCCCCATAACCTTAAAAAACCTTCTGTGTCATTCAAAATAAAGTACAAAATCTTTACTGTGGCCTAAAAGACCAAGATTGTGCCCCAGGCATCTTTAACTTGTAGTGCTCTCAGCTATCTTTAGAAAAGTACCCACTGTAAACTAAACATTCAGTAAGTCAGTAAATATTTGCAGATGGAATAAATGAATGAAAGTCATTCCTTCATTAAATAAAATTCATAAGATCATTCAAGAAGCAGTTATTGAATTCCTCCTCTGGCAGGCACTGCATAGGCTGCTGGGGATGAGCAAAGACAGACCTCCCCTACTCTCATGATGCTTAATGATGATTCAGTGTGGACACAAGTGAATCAATCACACAAACAAATGTAACATTAGTATTCTGATAAGTATTAAAAATGGAAGTCTCATGCTACAATAAAGAACTTTTGTGATGGACTCTGTGAAGCCAGGAAGTCTTTCCTAAGAAAGAAGTGAAAGATAATAAAAGCTACCTACTTTATTAAGATTTGTGCATTTCATTAGATACAAAATTTACAGTAAAATGTTCAAGTGAAGTTGCATTTTTAAAATAAGCATATATTTAAGTGCAGTTAATAACATACATGATGAAGTCTTTAGGGGAAATTATTCTAATAAATGCATTTATTTTCCAATGCATCCAAAAAATAAGTTGGATGAGTCAATAGCCTTAGGATGGATAGATGGATTAATAATAATGTGATAAAACAAATGCAGCAAAGTATTAATTTTGAACCTAGGTGATGGGCGCATAGGTAATCTCTGCAAATTTTTTTCAGATTTCCAGTTTGCTTGAAAATGCTCATAATATTGGGGGGAAAAGTATTAACCTGATAAGGAGAGTGGAGGGAGTCGTCTCCACCGAGGGCACAGTATGTACAAAAGTAGTTTATGTGCCATTACAGTTCTAATTCATATTTTAGATGATGTCTGTGGAAACAGTAAATGTGTTTTAAATATGGAGTATAGTTTTAATTATATTTGCCTGGTTTCTACTTAGTATTCTATTGACTCATTTTTATTAGCTGTAATTGGAGATAGTCACTGATCTCTTCTCTATGTGAGAGTAACCAGAGTTGACAGTCCCTCAGATAATTAGCATTTTTTAAAAAATATACCTTCTATTTACAAAGGACTTGACAATTTTCAACACCCTTTTACATTCACTCTCTTACTTGATAATGACAGCTAGGCTGTTGGTATAGGATAATAAAGGGCATCATTATTTATCCCCATTTTGCCAATAAAAGACTGAAACTTAGAAGGGAAGGGAAACATGATATTCCCTAAACCACAAAATACAAATAACTAACTACTGGGGCCTGCAATACCCACAGATCAAGTATGTGGATTTCCAGTTTAGCAAACTGTCCACTTCTCCACTATTCTTTATCACCTAGCTGGAAACATATAGCTGGAACCAGCAAATTCAGATACATAATTTCTTAGCAGATATTGCTAAACTTGATCTCTCGTTCCTTGACTATTTCTCCATTATTAACATACAATCATCATTTTTGGACAGATCTTCTTAAATACCTTTCCTTGATGCACGCATTTTATTTTCAACTTTAAAAAATAAAGTGACTTCACAGAAATTAGATCTCAAGTCACTCCTGCTCGAGTAGCTGCAAGAGCCTCTGCACTGTTCAGCATATGGAAGACACTAAGCTAGACCTCATTTGTCTTTCTATGTCAGTTTTAGGGAGTGGTGAGAAAAATCTTTGAAGAGGTTACCTCAAAAGGATGAGATATTTATTCTATCTGTCTTTCTTTCATCTCATTCTTGGTGTTATTGAAAAAAGTATCCCCCAGTTTAGTTAATAAGCTCATAGGTGACTATAATGTATAATTTTGTTATATCTAAAGAAAAAGCAATAATCTGGAATGGCAGATTCTGTAGGTTTCATATATTACTTCGCTTAGAAAAAGTTGTTCTGAACAAGAGTAGGAAAGTACCTAGACACTTTCTTTACTCAAACTTTCAATGAAGATAGCTACTTAGTCTCAATTTTTATAAATTTGTGCTTTCGAAAGGACATCATCTACCACTGTAGATTAGAATGGTGTTATAGGGAGACATATATGAATTTTTTTTTGTTCACAAAATGTATTCTCAGTTCTAGTTCAAATATAATCACTGATTTCAGAGTGTCCTGTTTGCTGGTGTTTTTATTTAACAAGCCTTACATACGCTCTTCCTCCAGGACACATGTAAACACTTCTAAGTGGGTGTCTGATTTTTAGACCTCTCCTAAAGTACACAATCTAGAAATAGAGGGCTCTCGTGATATTCCAAGAATTAACCCAACCTTGAGCACAGGGGCTAAGTGAAAGCTGTGCATCAACAAAATGACTCTGCCGGCCTATTCTCTGCTACTGTTTCGTTTGGTTCCAGCAAGTGTCTTATACAGTTTGGATGAAAAGAGAGTCCTATGAAGCTGATACAGCTGTGCTGGATCAAGTCACCACAAATGAAAAGGCAGACAGTCTATCCTTTTTATGATCTCACCCTTCCTCTCCTTGAAACTTGTTTACTCGGTTTCTTTTACCATCTTTCAGCCATTTGTCAAGAAAGTTTTGCAGTGAATCTCTTTCCAAATGAAATAGAATTGCATTTTTCAACCCAAATAAACTGCTTCATAACTTGTTTATTTAACATCTGTATAGTGCCAAAAATACACACACTTGTTTTTAAAATAAAAATATAGACAGTGTCTCCTTTAATTTATTTATCGTCTAAACCTCAAAACATATGATTTCAATAGCACTATAAAAATGGTAGTTGTTATATGTTAATAAGAAAATAAGCACATGTGTATTTTTACAAAGAAAAGTATATTTACTAAGCTATACCTATGATTAAATCTATTTCTTAAGCGTTTTGTACAGGAGACAGGAATCTAAGAACTGCAGTAAAGTCGCTTTTTGATTCCTAATTGCTGCTACTTATGCTGTCTTACCATATAATTCAATTTCCTTGCAGTCTGAAACAAAGGAACCACTTAGGAGAAATGTGCTGTGGACCAGTGTAAAACTGCTCAACTCCATAGCAATTGGTGTGTGTGTGTGTGTGTTGAAGACAGCCTAATTTTTGCCCTTTTCAACAGAAATCTCAACCTATCTATAAGTGCAAAAGCTACAGGGCCTAATAGAAAGGGTCTCTTAGTTTCACTGTTGTTTCTGCCACTTGGTCTTTCCCGTAGTCTAGAGAAAATAAATGAAGAAAGACTAGCTTTTGCCTCTCAGTTTTTAATAAAGAAGCCAAGATTCAGTGGGTTGATTAGAACATAGTAAGTCTGCCTTTATTCAACTGACATTTACTGAAGCAACTCTTATGGCTAAATTGTGTGCTCTGCTATGCTGCATGTTAGGAAAAAGAAAAGGGAGTGTTAGTATCATAAAACTTGATCTCTTAACTACTTCATCTCCACAGAAATGATGCCGTGTGTGTGTGTGTGTGTGTGTATGCGCGCGTGCATGTGTGCATGCGCACGCACGTGAGCACTTGGATGCATAGTCTTGAGCAGAGACTTCAGCACTGGCAGGATGAAATTCTTACTGGCTTTGCCAATCCTGTATCATGAAAAAACAAATAAGAATATAAAAATCTCTTCCAACTGTAAGCCCCAAAGTATAGCTATTGAGACACTTGATAGCTAAAGGTGGATTAGGATGTTATGTAATCAGTGTTACAACTTCTCATAGCTATGCATTTTCACCAGTGATTGTGAAAATATATACCTTCTTTATATAATAAGAATACTGTCATTTCTGTATTCAGAGTGCTTGGATATGCATCCCAATTTTGCCACCACATGGTGTGAGGAGGTTATTTACACTTCAGTCCTCATTTGCCTTGGCTATATAATAGGGGAAACAATGGTATTTATATGCTATAGTGGTGTGTTCAGAATTGTATTGCATTTGTCTCATTCTTTTCACTATACTGCTTAACAGAATTAGGAGTCATTGATCATTTGCTTTGCAACTTCTCCTAGTGGAAATCCAGTCCCTTTAAGCCTCTGAGTTAAATTGTTACAGACTGTGTATTGGTTCTTTATGAACTGGAAACTTAATTGTTAATTTTTCTTAGTTTTTCAATATTGATAGGAAATTTACTATCCAGTAACATTTTCAAAAGAAAAAACAGTCTATAATCCCTTTGCAGATGTCTGGTTTAGTTCTTCTGGAATATTGTTTTAAGAAAATTAAAAACAAGTTAAGCAGTTATCATTTGCTGGTCCAATTACTGTAAAATTTTAAAAAATATTTCCTTAATTCCAACAATGGGGACTTATTTGTGCCCTTTGAAGCATCAGACTATGTAAGGCAGAAATAATTAACGAACTTAAAAAATTAAGTTTCCTTCCCTCTACTCAAGGTATTTTGCCCTAGCAGCCGGCATGCTAGAGGTCTTCATGGCATCTCTAAAATTCGACCAGTTCCTTATTTTAGACTATTCATCTGCTAATGGATTTTGCCTGTCTATCACTGTTTGCTTTGGGGGGAAAGTGAAATTGAAATGACATGTAATGATACAAGACTAATCACAGAATCCTAGCCAATCTCATATTTTAAAAAAAGTTTGAATGTGTATATGCATACTTTTTTTTTTTTAAGATTTCTTTCTTTCTTTATTTATTCAAGCACTGGGTACAGTCAGAAGTGCGGGAGGGTAAGAGAATTCACCAGAGCCAGAGGGGAGAGCAGAGCAGGCAGACTGACGAAGTACACTGCTGAGGGGAGCAGTGGGCAGGAGAGGTCTGTGCGCCATGTGGGACCCTCGCCCTGTGGGCGGGGATCGAACAAGTGCTACAGAGGCTACAGGCAGCTTTACAACTCAGCACTCAACCGCTGCGCCACCAGGGAGGCCACTGTATATGCATACTTTTACATCTGTATATCAGCTGGTGGTTTTAAGCACACTTGCATGCATATAGACAGAGGTAAAAGATCAGAAAATGAATGCAATTCTTTACATATCACTTAACCAAGAAATTATGAGACCAGAGATGCCTGGACTCATTGTCTTCATTACTTCACATCTTATTATTGCAAATACTCTAGAAATCTCAGCACCAGTACTTGTAATTTACTTATATGCACTTAACTTTTTTCTTGCTGTAATTTGTACACCTTTTGCACTTGCATATATCTTGCCTCTGATAAATGGAAGGTTCCTGAAGTACAGGAAGCATGCCATCTATGTCTTGTGGATTTTTCTAGAAGACCTAGATGTATCTTTGATATTTATTGATTTATTTAAGCACAAGGATGAAGGAAAAGGCCTGTGTGCCAGAAAGTATCACTGATATTGAGCAAAAGACCCAAAATGGAATGGAATATAAAATAATACATGACTAAAATAAATGGTGAGGCAAGATGGGGTCAGGAAGGGGAGTAGAAAAGTCTTGTACCTATGAACAAAGCAACCAAGGAGTTTTTCATGGTTCACTCAGAAAAAAATGTAGCTATTTGAATATGCATCCAATAACATAATAAAATAGTCAAAATAAACTAGTATGTGAAAGCATGTAAGAAAAACACTTTTTCATGCAGTCAACCAGTTGACTGAAAATTTTAAGCAAAAATATTTTCATATATGCTATGTTCTAACTAGGGGAAGAGAACATTTGCTTATTTTAAAAAAGTTATTTTAATATACTTAACCTACCTTCAGAGGTTTGCTTATGAATGAGAAAAATTGTGGAATAAAAAGGAAAATAAAATTTTAAACTACGAGTGTCTGTTGGAATCATTGTTTACTAAGATTTTATTCAATGCATAAAATTTTGCTTTAGAATCACCATGGCATTTATTTGTATTTTATTGTTCAAGAGCCAATATAATCCTTGGAAAAAGTCTGTAATTTTACTATTTAAATGAATATAGCATATATAGTGGCTAAAACTACTTGTTCTCCGAGACCTACATGTTGGAGCCTATATTAAGAAACATGTCATTTTGATGAATCTTTCTTACACATGAAAAAATTAAATGAAGCCATTTAAAATGCAAGGCAGTTTAAGTGAGCACATGCGGCAAGAAGGCTAACAGTCATATAAATGTTAAGTAGAAGGAACAAAATACTAAATCCTTTCAGTGGAACCTGAAAAGGAAGATTTTATAAACTTGAAGAAACAACATGTAAGACTTCCAACCTCAAAATGGTCAAGTAAAGGCCCTTCTGCTCTCCTTTCAAAAATTAAACTAGGAAAATAATATGAATAGAATCACTGCTGTACCTGTCGACAACTTGAAGATGGCGGTAACTCCAAGTAGAACTCTGAGAGGAAAACAGCCCGATTACAGAGAAGGTGAAGCCCAAGCGCCTCTCAATGGAAAAGTGAGAAGCAGATAATAACCTTCCACCTGGCAGAATTCCAAAAGGGCCTGTTTGCTCTTGAATTAGAGGAGTGGAAATGGGTACATTAATGGTGTCTGCAAATGGGAATTAGAATCTCAACTCTCTGTCCCCATCTGGATCCCAACACAAACCCCCTAGAAACTATAAGTACGAATGAATTCTGGAGAAGCTCTGGATCAGAGATGAAGGCAGAGAACAGCAGTAGGGTGAGAAAAGAGATTTAAAATAGGAAGCTAAATGAAAGGTATACCGGATGAGAAAACACCACTTGCTAACCCTGTTCTGCTCCAGAAAAACTTAGCTCCCTGAGAAAAAGTCCTTATCTGCTCACAATTTGGAATCCCCAGGCACACACATACAGCACAAGCCAGTTGACTCCCTGATCAGCCTGCAATTATTTAATGCTCAGATATTATTTGCAGTGGTTAATACTGTGGTATGCAGTGATAACTAGCAAACCCTGAAATCTCATGTTTGGCATCTTGCTCACATGAAATCCAAGGGGTGGATGACTATCTGGAGCATGTGGCTTCCAAAGTCTTCATGGAGAGTAGGGATGGAAGAGAGAACATGCAGACTCTCAATTTTCTTAGCCAAGAAATGACGTATATCACTTGCACTCATAATCTGTTGTTCAGAACAATTCACATGGGAGCTGTAGGGGTGCAGGTAAAATATTGGGCAGCCACTAGCCTTTCTCTGCAATCTTATATACAGATTCTTGCCAGACACTTCACTTTCTTCCCATGCACCAGTAATGGGACTTGTTTATTTCATTGAATAATTATAATTCATTTCCAATTCAAAAGCTAATAGATATTGCCTGTCTAGTATGTGCTGGCACTGTGACAGAACTGAGAATACAGACATGACTATGATATCGTCTCTGGTTTCAGGTTATTTACCACTTCTTAGTTCATACCAACTTTGAAATAACTTTCATATCGCTCCCACTTAATGTTTATAATGGTAGATGCAAAGCAGGGCCTAGTTAATCAAAGACTGTATAAGTTATTGATTTATAATCCACATGATCTCATGTCCCTGTCACAAATACTTAATTTCAGATATTTCTCCCAAGTCTTTTCAGAGTTGGTCCTCTTTTCCTTTTTAACTAAAATAATTGTTGAGAACTCTTCCCTTTTTTTCTAATGGCAACATATAATGATCTCAAATATGCTCCAATGATAAGTTACTGCAAATTAATCTATTTTTCACTATTACCTTGTGGTTTATTTTTGATGTTCAATGAAGCAGTTTTGTAAATTAATATTAATATGAAATGCTCTAAGAAAGTTTCATAGCATAGCAGTTGAAAGCAATTATCCAGGAAGAGTTTTTATATCTGAGTCAGTCTTGCAGATACATCTCATCTATTTTTTGAAAGGAAATTATTCTGCTAATTAAAAAAGATATACTTATCTTAGAAATACTATTATATCTGTTCTTATTCGCTCACTCAGTCTACAGCTTGAACTGCTTATTTCAGTCATACAACTGATTTTTAGTAGTTGGATTCTGAGAGTTTTAATAATTTTTTATAACTTTGCTTTCCGTATGTTTTCTTCTCCAGAGCACCCGAGTAGCCTTAGACCATCTGGAGTCCGTTCCTGAGAAACTGAGCCTACTAGAAGATTTCAAAGACTTCAGAGTGAGAAAGAGTTGGCTTGTCTCCATTATTTTTATCTGAGTGAGAACACTTGACATCTTCCTGATGTGCAAAGGAAATTTAGGGAGGAAGGAAAAAAAAACGAACAACATTGGGGATTTTAAGCAGTCCGTTTTTGTCAGAGTTTATTGACATTTGTGAAGTCAGGATTGAAAATAATGGAACTTCTATATTATAGCACAATGTAGGAGGATAGAGATGTTTACCCTATTACTCCAAGTCCATTTGGTTCTCCAGAGCTTTAGCTATAATTAGAAAAAACTAGGAATTAACAGGTGTTGCGCTGATAATAGGTTGCGTTGATAATAGATAACTATTTTAATAAGCAATTTTAATTTATGAATTATCTCCTTTGTCTAAATTACAAATTTCCATGGTACTGTTTGTTTTGGAGATATAATAGTGTATAGGTTATCCTTATGCTGCGCTAAATGAATTCAAGTCCACATAGAGGTTTAGATTTTCCATCCCATGCCACTTAGTGATAGAATTCTAACCACAAAGCAATATTTTATCAAGTCAGTGTGTGGATTTACCTACTGTAAAATTTTTAAATTCCCCATAGGAGAAAGATGCAAAGCAAATAACCCTGCCACCCATACAGTTCTACCAGACAGATCCAGGCCAGGGAATATCTTCACACATCCCCGTGGGATGCATATGTAATGGGAAGTTTTAAGAAACTTACAACTTCTTGACCCCGTGTGGCTGAGAGTTAGTGTATAGTGAGAATTTCCCTTTGAAAACTCTTATTTCACATTGACTTTAAACTAGAACTAGATTAAATTTAGATTCTGTCTAACTAGAACATATTACCTGGCGATATAAAGAGTCATAAATACAGCCTCGCCATGCCATACTGATTTATTGAATGCACTGATACGATGCTGCTCTGAGGTCTGCACTCTTAAAATTAACTTTTCTAAGTGTGTGTCGATATTTCAGTAACTAAACATTTGTGTGGGATTCAGGGTTGAATTGATATATCCGGGAATTTAGGCTCTTATAAATAGAACAAAACCAAGTTTTTCTAGAATATTTTACTGATGTTTCACTGCTTTCTCATGATTTGATTCTACATTTGCAGTCTAAATTCCAACCAAAGAATTATGAAGCCAAGGTTCAGGAAGATGTGAATTCCACCCACTCTTATATGTCCCAGTGTGCTATCAGGCATTATATTACACTCATATCCTTTCTACCTTTTTCTCTCTAGCTAGCAGAAGTCATCTAAATGAATGAAGCATGGGCAAGAGGCTTTGGAAGCAGGTGGCATTTGTCACTAAGAAATAGATGCTTATCTTTTTCCATTATATAAAAAAAACAAAGTTTAACCTACAGTGACTTACTTTTTTCCTGAGTGGTTTACATTGAACAGAACACTCATAGGAACAATTTAAAAGTTGCGTTCTCTGCTGTTACCAAAAGGTTTATTATTGTTGTTGTTATTATTATTATTATTGTTATTATTTTTCACCTGATGAGCTAGTTCTTATCTACAAATCTAGTTGATATAGACACACACTCACATAGGAATATGTCTGTATAGTGAATTTTTAGGGAGAGTATTTTTTAAAGTTCAGAATTATGCTTTCCCATCTCAGTCATTAAAATTGAAACCTTTAGCTTTAAAGCAGAAAAGAGTTCATTAGCAAGTAGTAGACACTGCTCTGTGGAAGGCAGTAACTAAATATTTTATGTCACATTTTTTCAAATTCTTGGTGAGTCCATAGATGGACATTATTTTCCCCCATCTTACAGCTTAGGAAACAGAGGCATGGTGTAAATTATTTGCAATTGGGATCTAGTTCTTTGTATGAACAGCAAAGCACATCTGTTTTGCCCTACTGCCTCTAATTTAAAACCAATCCTATATGTACTCTAAAGTTGTTTTTATGAGTAGAAAGAGCTTATTTAATGATTTTAATGAAAATAGCCAGACATAGCCCTACATAAAAATACATAAGGACTTTATTAGATGGAAATTTATTTTTCAAACCCTCAAGACTTTTCAGAAAACCAGAACACTATAGAAAAGTGTCCAAAGACCTAAGTTGTGGTCAGAACTCATGTACCAGATAAAATCGCTTATGTCTCACAGGCTATTTCCTCCTTCATAAAATGAGGGCCTTGAACTTGAACAGTGTTATCACCATGGTGCTACTCACAGAGGCATCACTAGCATGTATGTGACAATGTATTGGGGCATAGATTTCTTGCTAATGCTGTATGTATTCTATGATTCTAAGTGTAAAAGTAAACCTCTCCTCCTTTACATAAGCTTGACTTTACTCTTGTTTGAGCATATATTAGTCGTTCTCATTTTTTTTAACATAGTTGGAAAAAAAGTGGCTCATCTCTGCAATTGCACACTTAAACATTACATATTTGGTGCTGTAGAAAGAGAGTAAGGCTGGGTCCCAAGTCCACCTCAGATTGAGGTCAGGTAAGTTGTCCTTATATTTAAAAATCTATGTGATACAACAATTAAAAGGTAGAGTGTTAAGAACTAGTAAAGAAAAAGGGCTTAGCTTTAAAAGTATTTTTTTTTTTTAATAAGGAGACTATTTTGATGCTAAGCATGACTGCAGGGGACAGTACACAGTGTTTAAAGGTGGCATGTGTCATTCTTGACCATCCTTGGACAACGCACTTAGTTATTTAAACCTTTTTTTCCTTCAACTGAAGAGTATAAGTTATTTCAGATAAGCATGAAGTCTTGTGAAAAGGATATAAATAACTATTGTGGGACCCTATTTTTTATTTGTATGGGGCATCCAAACTAACCATTTTCTTTTTTTATCATTGAAGACCTATGATTTCCCTAGCTCTCTTTTGAAATACCTATAATTATTATCTACATATTGACGATCTCTTATTCTGTTACCAGGGACCAGTGTTTCTTTCATGTACCAGCTTAGACCCTTGTTGTTTTTCCAGGACTCACACAGCTTCTCGGAGAGAATTGATGGGCGGTTCCCTAAACACAGAGTGCACAGAGAGCCTCTCCAGCAGCACCGAGATGGCACCAAGTACAGAATCAAAAGCCTCAAAGTAATGTCCTTTATTTACATTTTCAGTCTTTGAGCATTAATCAGTGTTAAGGACTACATCCTTCTCTGCAGCTCTGCAAGCTTTGTGTAAGAGTGCACATAAAGGAAAAGCTTCTCCTTGACATATGAAATAGGTTGTTTTCAATTTTGAGGGAGTTGAGGATAAAAATCCAAAGATTGTGCTTATAACTTTTAACTGGGCACTTTGGGTTGATGCCATTGTAGTTTAATATGTTGTTTGTCTATGGGAACTGATGCTGCTTACAAAATTTGAGCCAGGCAACCCCTGGTCTCTTAGTGGGGTCAAATGCTTATTGTGGATAGTTAACCCTCCTCTATGTACAAGTCTGGTTACTCTTAGCATTGAATTCCCCATTTGGTTCAGTAACATCACTTTGAGGAATATAGCCTTGTCTTTTATGCTCATTCTTTTCCTGAGGATGCAAACTTCATAACAATACTTAAGTATATGGTTCATTAACATGGAATCAACTCCAGAGACTAGGAAGACTTGAACATACTGGCAAAAAAACGTGCCATTCTCTGCTCTGCACAAAATCCACCTAGCATGTGGGTGATTTTAGGCTCATTTGACCCTGAAGGTCTAGAGCAAGCGGTGTAGACATTTGAATCTGATAATTCTTTGTTCAAGAGGCTTCCTTATGTTTTGAACCATGGTTAGCAGAATCTCTAGAGTGTACTCACTGGATGCCAGTAGCAGCCCCCATTCTGAGTTGGGATATTGAAAAACTTCTCAAGGTGTTGTAATCTTTCCCAAGAGGACAACACTACCTTCCACTGAGAACACTGACCTACAGAGGATTTCCACCCCTATTTAAATATATACTCCAAGTCATTTTAGGGGGAAAAAATAACAACAACTAAAGGTTCGTCTGGCTTTTTTATATTCTTAAAATCTTCAATATTTATGAATATTCATCATGCTAAATATAGTTACTTATTACAGACAAACATAATTATTTCTAAGAAGGTTCTTTCCTCCTCTGAATGTGATTGGATTGAATGCTTAGTAGATATAAAGACAGAGTTTATTTCCATGGGTCCTCCTTGGTCTGCTTAAAGTGAGCACCTACTTTAAGCACCCATCCCAAACTAATATTTATACTATGTAATTGACACCTTACTGCAACTTTTTGCCTTTTACCTGATTTTCACAGATTGGTATTACTGACTGTGGTAGTGGTCTTGTTTTCATAAAACAGATTTTATGTTCACTAAATTATCTTTCAACATTCCCATGAAGTCCTATATACTCAAGCATTTCTCTATCACTTAACGGAATGATGCTAACATTCAACTGAAGTGCAAGACTTAGGCAACAATAGCTAATAATAACCACTACTCATTTTTGAGCAAACCACATGAAATGAAACAAACCACATGAAATGTCACATTATATGCATTATCTCATTTGCTCCTCACAGAACTCTATCAGACTGGCAACCCCTCAGTGGTAACTTCCTATTACCACTGAAGAAAGCATAGTTAACAGCAATTCAAGGTTGAATCAGGATGAAAACTTGGATCTGACTAAAGTCAGTAATCAGTGTCCTCCACCATTAGACTATTAGAATTTAAAATTGCACTTCATATACCTTAATTTTTCTAAAAGTCACCAAATGTAGGATTACATTTTTTAATAAGTAAAAGTCTGTTTTCTACAAAAACACATAAGCACTATAGATGTCTCTTAGTTCAACAGAGTAAATGAAACATTTAAAACATTATTTCCCAATTTAATTAGATTTACTATCAGGTAAATCAGTGCTGTCTCATGGCACCAAGATTGCCATAAATCAGTGCAGTTTCCATAGTATCATCTGGCAAAGCCAAGAAGGTTTCACATGTTTAGCAAATTATCACATTGGAGTTATATTTAAAATTATATTTGTAGCCAAAGAGGAAATCGGGCCTGGTTTGTAAGTGAAGTCAACACTTAGTAAAATGAGAAATAAGTTTGGAAACTTGCAAGTAGATAGTGCAAGGTGCAGGAAAGGCCACAATTTATATTTTGTGATGACATTATTCTACATGCATACTGCTTAAACATTTTTAAATATTGATCTAGCTCACTGATCATTTGTGGACTATCATCGTATGTGTCAAATTTCTGGCCTGAAATAATGTACTCATCTAACACAAAACTCATGAAAATACCTCATGATTTTTAGTCATTGGAGGGGAAAAGAGGGGCTACATTTTACAAATTACAAATACCAATGATCATCTGCTTTACTTTTTCCCAAAATAAGTAATTTAAACACTGAGAAAAGAGGCAACTTCAAAAAAAGCATGAGCTTAACTGTATGTAAAAGAGTCAAGTCATTAATTTCTTGGCTTCATGGATAGATATTCAAAAGAGTTTCTTTGAATTAGTAATTGACATCCTGAAAAATAGGAGGGATTGTAACTTTCTGTCAAGAGAGAAGGTGCTCCACTTACTACATTTGTTTGATGAGATGTTATTTTATCAACTCCTAACTTCTCCCATGTTTTGCTAGGACAGAATTCAAAGAAAAGATACATTGCAGGATTGAGTTTCTGGTTCTACTGAAACCATTGGTTCCTGGAATTCAGTTAGTGTAAGATTCACTTTAATTCAACAAACATGTACGGAGCAGCTACCATATTGCAAAGCACTTCACTATCTATTGAGGTGGGGACATAGGACAGATGAGAGATAGAAGGTGTGGTCATCCATCAAGTAGGGAATAGTTACCTAGTGATCTTAATCCTAACAGATAATTTGTGTACAGCTGTCTTGGTACAGCAAAATACCAGCTATGGGCCAAATGTCACCTGCTGACTGCTTTGTAATGGACAATTTTTTTTTTTTTTTTTTGGTGGGACTCTCGCCGGCGGCCGGGGAACCAACTGGCACTGCAGAGGCTGCGGGCAGCCTCGCAGCCCAGCACTCAACCGCTGCACTACCAGGGGAGGCCCTGTAATGGACATTTTTATGGGAATACACCCAAATTGTCTACATATTATTCATGACTGCTTTCACACTCTGTTTTTTTGTTTGTTTTTTATTTTATATATTTTTTACATCATTTTTCATTTTTGCACAATGTGTGCATTTTCGTCATGGTTATAGAACCCATACAATTCCCACTCACCTTGTTTTCATCCTACTTCCTCCTCCCTCCACCCCCCACCCCCGTATTGTGTCTCTGGTTTATAGTTGCTTGTTAATTTTGATTTTCACTTTATTATAATTAGTATAAAATAGAGTTTAGTAGTTGCAAGTGAATCTGTATGGCCCACAAGGCCTATTATATTTACTGTCTGACACCCTATAAAAATTCTTGCCAATCCCTAGTCTAGTGAAAGAAGAAATTACCAATCTACTACTCTCTCTTCCTTTACATGCTATGTAAATTATTTCCTCTTTTTATTTGCCAATCAAATAATTACTGCCCAAACTCTTTGGAAAGTCATCATACTTACCTGGTCATTCAACAAATACTCATTGAGTGTGAAGAACTTACTAGATGATGGTAGATTTACTGGCCAACAGTGATCACCAGGGACATAGACCCCTGCTCTTTGGACGCTTCCATTCCAATTATAGAGTATTCCCATTTGTTGTTATCATTATTGTTTTTAAAATTCCACATTCAAAAAATATGTGTGGCATTTCTACTCAGTAAGGCAATGTGCTAGGGACTAAAGAAAAGGGCATATTAAGAAAGTCTTACTACCACCCTTAGGACTTCAGCACCTTTGCACTAACTATAGTGCAGGAGAAAAGGATACATGCTGGAAAGGAGGTACCAGTAAACTTCAGTGGAAATTCAGAGAGCAGACATATGTTCCAGAGTCCTTTGAGAAGAGTTTTGTAATAAGGTATTCAGAAGGGTTTTACCCACATCTGCTTGAAAGAGGATCGCTATTAGCATTACAGTTGTGGAACCCTGACTTGTGACAGACAAATCACCTTGGAATTGCCAAACCTGATGGCAGCTGGCTTCCTTCATGTTGTTGCTGATGTAAGAAAACAGTGAAGCAGCCAACAGGCTCACTCTGCAGGGAGTGTACCTAATGCAGGTTCTCTCTCAGCCCAGGCTCAAGCCCACCTCCTGTTGACTGCGATAGCAATCATCAGGATACAAATAATCAGATTTCTAGAAAGCTATTGAGATTTTCAGCAGAACCAACCTCCACAATGGCTGAGAGCGTAAGATAATAATTGTGCTAAGCTGAGCACATTCCTGACAAAGCGTGACCTAAAAGCTTGTATTTATAAGTCAATTCAAAGCTAAATCTGACACATTTTCTCCATCTCCAAGTAGACAACAGAAGTATCCCATCACCTCTCTTTCATTAGGCTTGAGTGGTTTTCTGTAGGACATACACGTTTCCTTGCTGTCCCAAATAGAACAGCTGTTTCAAATAGAACAGAATGTTCAAGAGTCAGCCAGTAATGCAGGGCTGCTAATCTGAATCCACAGAGGAGCATGGATTTATCCAAGAAATCCCCATTTGCTACCTGCCCTTTTTTGCTCTCATTAAATACGTGGTTTTAATTAGCATTGCATTTTTAAGTAAAATCGCAGAAGGCATGATTTGTTCCCATCTTTCCTCCTCCTGGAAGGAAAATCATTTTTAATTTCTTGTTGAAGAGTTCATAGGCAACTTCTTTTTTAAAGAAGCAGATGTTTTACAGGATGAGGTAGGTGAGGATGTGTTGATAAAGGCTTTCAGCACAGTTTATGAAGGCAGAGTTTGCCTTTATCATATTTATTCATAGTAAGCACCTGTATACCCAACGTATATGTTTTGCGCCTGGAAGCTTTATCTCCTTCCTTGAGTGGCTCCATGGTTTGTGCTTTGCTCGGAGCCATTACTGGCTATTAGCACTCTCTCTATTAGGTCAGCTGTTTCTTAGATTGTCTACAATAGTAGCTTTAAAAACATGCTATGTACAATTACTGGTGCGATTCAGGATTGTACTGGTATTTATTTATTTATATTTAA